AGGGTGGGCACAGAGTGAGGACAGTTGCCCAGAGGAGCTGCCCGGTCTCATCTAGAAACTTCGGGTTTTGACCCAGTCTGAAGTTCAATATTGGGGGATGGCCAAGCTACCCCCCCATACCGCTTCCCTTTACTCAGCACCCTCACCCCAGCTGGGCCACACAATTCTGGAAGACCTGAACCTGCCCTTGACTGGACAGAGGACCCTTGAGGGGACTCAGGTAACCTTACCTGCCAGGTGAGGTTTAGGGCAGCAGTGCCAGCAGGGCCTCCACACAACCCTCCTTCTCTTTGCTTGTTTGTGGCCTGAGCCACCTTGAGAGACCAGCTCTATCTTTGGGGAACAAGGAAAAAGCCCCTTTCCATGGTGAAGTGGGCTCCAGGGATTCCCCCAAGCCACAGCCCTTGCCCCAGGTTCCCTGCCTCAGTCTGCACTTCAGTCACCAAGGCTTCGCTGGGCCAAGCCCAAACAGAAATAGCCTCCCAGGCCACAAAGCGTGTGCAGAAGAGGGCCTGGGCATCAGGCCGACCGCAGGGAGGGTTACCAGGAAGGAGGGCTGCAGTCCACCCAAGTGCATGGCTGAGCTGGGCCCATAGGTGAAAGGCCATCCAGGGGGTCCAGCGCAGGCCCTGGGAGGGGCTGGAAGTTCCCTGGTGCTAACTCACTCCCAGGATACACTGACACTGAGTGCCTGACACACTGAGCACTGTGTCTGGGGCCAGGACCAGAGAGAAGGGGTGAAGCGGGGAGCAGAGACATGGAGCAGACAACCCAGGGTGGGAGGGGGTGGCAGGTGAGAGACAGAGGCCAGTCGGTGCGTGGACAGACAGGCACACAGATCAACCACAAGGACCCCTATCAGACTGTGGACGGGTAGTGGGTGAAGGCCTCAAAGAGGGGGTGACATCTGAGCTGAAGTCGGGGTGATAAAGAGAAAACAACCTGGTAAAGGGAGTGGAGGGAAGAGCAGCAACCTGTCACCCTACACTGGGGCCGCAGAGACACAGAGCTTGGGCCCTGGAAGGGAACGATGAGAATTTGTTTCTCCTGCAGAAATCCCCAATTTTAGACAATCTTCCTGGGATTCCATAAGCCATCATCCTTCTTTTGTCTCCTAACATGAATTAAGTCTGTTACATGATTATAAAAACAGCATACACATTATTTTAAAAAGATAAAATGAGGGCCTGTCCGGTGGCGCAGCGGTTGAGCACTGGGTTGCGAAGCTGCCCGCAGCCTCTGCAGCGCCGGTTCGATCCCCGGCTGCTCCCCGGCCACCGGAGGAGGGTCCCACATGGCGCGCAGACCTCTCCTGCCGCCCGCTGCTCCCCTCAGCGGTGTCCTTCGGTCCTTCTGCCTGCTCTGCTCCCCGCTCTGGCTCTGGTGAATTCTCTCACCCTCCCGCGCTTCTGACTGTACCCAGTGCTTGTATAAATAAATAAAAATAAATCTTTAAAAAAAAAACCATAAATCTTTAAAAAATAATAAAAATAAAAATAAAAAGATAAAATGATGTTAAGACACATTCAGGTCTCAGAAGATGCCAGGTTGCCCTCCCTGATGACCCAAGTCAGTTGTATCTGCCCCCTGGGAAGTGGTCTGTTCAGACAGGTTGAGCGAGTGGATGGTTGGATGGATGGATGGATGGATGGATGGATGGATGGATGGATGGATGGATGGATAAATGACTGGATGAAAGAATGAATGAATCAATCAGGGAATAAACTCATGTGATCCTTTAAAGGCAGCTGATTACTTTAAGAATGGGTTCCTGGGATCATCAGCACCCTGCCCCCAAAGAAACAGGTTCTCCTTAATGGCACCCATCAAACAGTGGGATTTCCCTGGGGCTCGGTGACCTTTCTGCTTCCTGTCTTTCCCACAGTTCCTGGGCCAGGGGCTTCCCAGAGAAGATGGTGCATCCATGGGTTCATTGTTTTTAAACATTTATTTAGTGTGATTAAAAAGATGGTGTGTGACAAGAGAGCAAAAAATGAAAAAAAGGGGGGGACATTCACCAGGCGCCCGAGCAAGCCCCACTTTCCTGCGGGCAGATGGCCCCTGGATGGGAAGCGCAGAAATATTTGTACAAAGCCGCGGCTTTTGACTTATGTTCACAATGGACAATTTTTACTTAACATTTTAATTGATGTTTCCTGTATTTCCACATACAAACTCTTCAAAATTATCACTTTAAGATCATTTTAATGGCTTAATCCCTTCCTGCAGGTTTCGCTTGTTTGATAGTTTTTTCCCTAATGGCTGCAAAGGCTGCGGCCATTCACAATGACTCAGCTGTATTTTTGCATATTTTCAGAGTGGAGACTTTTTACACCTTTTAAACCTTTTTCTTGGGATGAATTCCAATCAAGGGTTGCAAGGACTCTAGAACAAAAAAAAATTTGCAGTTATTTCCCACCCCCACCCCCACGGGGGGGGGGGGGCTTTGCAAAAAGGTAGCACCAATTAGCATCACCATCAGCTGCAGGTGAAATGAATTTCTCTGAGTATTTGCAATTAGGCGCATGCAGGGCTTTCAGAATGCAAAATCAAAACAACATCTTTGCCCCAAAAGCCTAAAATCGATTTTCCTATTTCCAGTCTGAGTTAGAAGTACCCCAGATGAGTCCTGGAAGAATAGTTTGAATATATCACAGTGACTGCATTATCTAAGGAATCAGACACCTCAGAAATAAATTAATTTTACTCCAGATACAGATATCAGGATTGTGAATATGTGAAGAGGAAGCCCTCTCCAGTCTTCACACCTGAATGAATGGATGATATTCTGCAGAAACCTGCCTGGTTGGAGAGATTTAATGAAGGCAGAAAAAAAGCAAGAGTTTTTTTGGGCCAAACATAAGGATGACAGCACGTCATAGATAATATAGAAAAACTTAGGAACACATCCCAGTCGCCAAACATCACATTTATTGGTTGCATTTTCTTGCTTTGCTTTCTATGATGATTAAATGAGATGTAAAATTCTTTTTTTTTTTTTTTTAGAGGCATGCTTTATTTATTTGTTTGCTGGTTTGTTTGTTTGTTTTGTTTATACAAGCACTGGGTACAGTCAGAAGCGCGGGAGGGTGAGAGAATTCACCAGAGCCAGAGCGGGGAGCAGAGCAGGCAGAAGGACCGAAGGACACTGCTGAGGGGAGCAGCGGGCGGCAGGAGAAGTCTGCGCGCCATGTGGGACCCTTCTCCAGTGGCCGGGTTGCAGCCGGGGATCGAACCGGCGCCGCAGAGGCCGCAGGCAGCTTCGCAACCCAGCGCTCAACCGCTGCGCCACCGGGGAGGCCCCGAGATGTAAAATTCTTAATGTGGTGCCTGCCACAGGCTGGACACTCACTAATCACATATGGCCTTGCTCCAGTTCCTTCTCATGCAAATGATCTCTCCATGTCTTTTATTCACCTAGATTGGACTCATGGTGTTTTTCTTGTTTATTTTAATGAGCTCTTTATATATTGTAGCTATTCTTTACTTCCTGTTTCCTGACATTTTGCTTTGTTCACATAATTGAGAATATTGGAAAGTTTGTGCTTTTTTATGTGGGTTGCCCCACGGTCTCCTTTGTCTCTCACTGTTCCAAGAGCAAGTAGGCAGCAATGAGAGCCTAGGGGTTTACCAGTGGGAGTAATTTTGTTGATTTTGTCTTGGGCTCAGTCCTGATGTTATGATTTTTCAGAGGTGGGGGAGGGTCTTGGCTCACTGAAGCATGTGCAATAATTCTTTTGAAATGAAAGGACTCAGAATCACCACATTCTGAGGGGCTCTTGCCCCAACTAGGTCAGTTTTCTTGCTTTTGTGGGGGCTGTTGTTCTTGCTTTCTTTTTTCTTTTGCAGCAAATTCATTTATTTATTGACTGTCCCACAAGAGCCTGCGGTGTGCTGGCCTCTTGAGTTTGGGTATATGATGGTAAGCGAAGCAGATACATTCCTTCCCAGTGTATTGGGAGATGCACACAGGGCAATGGCAGCTAGTCAGTAAGCATTTATTGAGCACCTACTGTGTGCCAGTGTCTGAGAGGGGCAGGGGATGCCCCTGTGTGCAGATTTGGCCCTACCTTCACAGGCTCATCATCACGAGCCAAATAACCACACAAATACATGGCAGGCGAGGCTGACAGGGAATGAGCTATGGGGCTTAACGCGGGGATGTGAGTTATTCTGACTGGAGGCGTGTGCAGAGGGAGTATTAACTAGGAGGGCTTCCCTGAGGACATGACATTTCAGGTAAGGAGGGAAAAGACTTGAGGCAAAAGGGATACCATATGCAGAGCCCTTGGAGCAGGAAGAAACTTCTAAACCCCACTCAGTGCTGCTCGGGTTCAGGCACTGGGGCTCAGGCTTAAATATCAGGTCCCTCGAAACTGCTGAGTCAGTGTTTGGGGGACCCTTCTCCTGCTCAGCCCACCCTCAGGCTCCAGGCTGCCCTTGGCCCACCTGGACAGCTCGACTCTCTGGTCTGGCAGCTGGGAAAGGTTTGGGGGCGGGTGCGGGGAAGCAGATGCCTGTTTTTGGAGGACACGTGGCGGCGAGCGAGGGAGCCTGGAGTCCCACTGTCGCCCTGCTACTTTCTCTGACCTCAGCTGGGCTTGGCCTCCTGCCTTCCAGAGTTCACCGGGAGGTGAAGTCTCCTCCAAGTAAGGCCTGTCCCTTCCCCTCCAGGGACGCCTGGGAGGGTCCGGAAGGCCTCCCCCTCGCCCCCCTCCGGCTCTGCAAAGCCTGTGCCGGCTCTGTCTTCTTTCCTCCCACTTCTAGGGACCCAGTGGCAGAGGCGCCCGTGACTGCCCAGTCCTGGCATGGGCTGGGTGGGAGGACCCTGGCGAGACTGCTGTGGCTTCCCTGGAACTGGAGGGGCTGCATTTCCCTCAGGGGCCCCCTGGAGCAGGAATGGGCCCAGCGCTCAAGTCACCCTACCAAGGCCCTACCCAGGAGGCCTTGGCTTCTTCCCAGTGCGAGGTGGGGGGGTGGGGTTTGTGGGGGGAGGCTATCATCGCTTCCCACCGTCCTTTCCAGGAAATTCCAGCCCATAACTCGCGGCCTTGGGAATGTCTGCATGGACTCTGGAGCCAGGCCCCTCTGGGCTGCATCCCTAATCAGTCCACTCTCTGCAGGATCCCCGGCAGATGTACTTCTCTAGGCCTCAGCTTCTCCACCTGCAGAGCGGGCTCACCTGATGGCCAGCACCTGTGGCCTGTGGTGGCTCCCTGCGGCCCAGCGCGAGGGACGGCTTCCCCGGCTGCTCTCCGCCTGGGTGTGGAGAAGCTGGCAGACAAGCAGGTCAGTGGCGGCCTGGCCTGCATAGGACCAGCCTTTCCAGTCCAGAGGCCTTGTGTCCTCCAAGATGGGGGCGAAGTAGAACCAGCCTCCTACAGGTGAGGGCTCCGGCCCAGGGAGGTGGCAAACTCACCCAAGGCTGCACAGCAACAAGACGCCCACTTGTCCCCTCCAAGTGCGCTCTGGGAGCCAGGCCTGGGCCTTGCCAGGGGGCAGCGCTGGCCCTGGAGCCCGCGGCCAGGAACCCCGGTTTCTGCTCGGCTCTTCTGCACACCCAGGACCCCGCCGGGCCCCGCGCCCCGCGCGCCCCGGCTCCCCCGCGCCGGCTGCGCCCCGCCCGGCCCCTGCCCCTTGGCGTTGGCGTTGGGGGCGGCGGGAGGGGGGCGGGGGGAGCCCCGGGAGCCGCTCGTCATTCTTCCCCGGCCCCGGGGAGCCGCGCGGCTTGGCGAGCGGCGGCCGGGCCCGGCTCCTTTGTTGCCCGCTGACAGGCCGGGGCGGCCACCGCACGCTCGGCTGCCAGCTCGCCGCGGCCACCCCATCCATCACCGGGGCGGGGGCTCCCGCCGGCGCGCGCCCGCGGTGTTGTTCCCGGCTGCCTGGAGCTGGGAGATAAACGGGGCATGAACTGGCCCCCTGGCAGGGGGTCAGCCCCCTCTGCCCTCATTAAAGTGCCAATCAAGAAGAGGAATGGGGCCGGGCGGGCCGGCTGCGCGCGGCAGAGAGGGGCGGCCCCCGCCCGCACCCCGCGCCCGGCCCCCCCCCCCCCCCCGCCCGCAGCCCGGGAGCTGCAGAGTCCAGGCCGGGGCGCCGCGCGCGTGGGCCGCCCCGGGTCCCTGGGTGTCTGTTGCCTTGAAACAAGCCACCCCAAAGCTCAGCGCCTCAAAACAACCGCCTTTGAATCTGAGGGTGAATGTGAGGGTTGTCTGGGCGCGGCCCGGGGAAGCTTCAGCTCAGGACACCGGGCTGGAGCGGTTCCAGAAGACTCCTGGCTCCCCGGGCCGGGAGAGGCCACCCCGAGGCAGGGCCTCTCCTTCTCTAAGGAGTCTGGCTGGCGGTGGGCTCCCCCTGTCCACGTGGTGTCTCCCACTGGGTAGCCAGGCTGCTCAGAGCGACATAGGCCCCCAAAGTGCCAGACTGGAAGGTGGTGGCCTTCTTTTCTTTCTTTCTTTCTTTTTTTTAAAGATTTATTTATTTATGCATACAAGCCTGAAGTGTGGGGGCTTGAGAGGATTCACCAGAGACAGAGTGGGGAGCAGAACAGGCAGATCTACAGAAATACACTGCTGAGGGGAGCAGTAGGGGAGGCAGGAGAGGTCTGCTGCGCCATGTGGGTCAGCTCCTGGCCTGCGAGGGATTGAACTCGTGCTGCAGTGGCTGGCGATAGCTTGATAGTGCTGTCTTTAACCCCTGCGCCACCAGGGAGGCCCAAAAAAGAACAATTCTTACATTGCTTGAGCGCTCAGAATATGTAAAGCATTGCTCTAGACAATTATATCCTATTTAATTCTTCCACGCCCCTTATGGAGATGGTACTGGTATGACCATCTTTCACAGAATCCATTAAGTGGGCTAAATTGTAATGAAGACTCCCAAACATTTATCAAGGCATTTATCATTTCTCACTCATTTACATAGGATGAGAATTCCTGGCTAGTGCTTCACAGACCCGGCTCCATCCATCCTGTGGCTCTGGTGCAGTTACTCTGCTTGCTGTGTGGACAGGGACCGCAGTGGGTATGTGCGTATGTGGGAGGGGATGTGCTTGATGGACAGTCTCCATTGACCTTCTGAATTCACTCTTCCTCTCTCCACTCTGCTCTCTGTCCTGGGAGTGTAGCCTCCATGGACTATGTCAATGGACCCCAAGCCCTGTAGCTTCCAGTTAGGTTCAGTCCATGGAAGAGAGTGGCAGGAAATCAGTGGTCCCCTTGGTTCACTCTCTCTGCTGGGATGTGGTTTAGCTGTCACTGGCTTTTTCTACTAAGGCAATGGCCCTCCTCAGGTGGCCCTTTCTTGTAACTCTTAGCTGTCCTTGGGGGTGGTTAACAGGATGCTTCACCATCTCTTGTTGCACCCCTGACCTCACCCACAATTTATAACCCGCCCCTTTGATAACCTCTCTGCAATCACATCCTCAGATTGTGCCATCTATAGCCTTTGTACCCTGACTGATAGAAAGGGCAGAGGTGACGCCAGGAAGCTGTGTAGGTGGCTATTGCAATAAATCCAGAAGAGAGAAGATGGTGGGTAGGTTTTTAAAGTTGAGTCAACAAGATTTTCTGGTGGATTGGATATGGAGTTTGAGCAAAAGAGAAACAATTGGAAATAATTGGAAGAATGAAGTCATGTATTAAAATGGGGAAGACTGCAGGATAGGCACACACGTGAAAATACAATCCTAAAATAAACTGTTAAAAATAAATAAAATAAACTCAATCCAAAGTATGAAAGGAAATGTAAAGACAAAGGTACAAAGTGCAGAAATAACAAATAGAAAACATACAGAAAATAAATGGTAGATCACAAACCAATCACACTGGCAATTACATTAAATGTAAATGGACTAAACACTCCAAGTAAAAAACAGAGTGTTAGGTTATATACGAGAACAATACCTAACAAATGCTGTTCATTATATATATGGATACCAAAAGAGAGAAAGTAAAAAGATAGGGGGAAAGGTATGTCATGGATATGCTGATCAAAAGAAAGTGGAACGGTTATGTTAATATTGACAAAGAAGACTTCAGGGCAGGGAATTTCCAGAGATAAAGAGGGACATTGCATTATGAAAAAGAATCAGTTTTTTGATAAGACATAATAACCCTAAATGTGAGTATCCAATAACATAGCTTCAGTGCATGAATCAAAAAACTGTCAGAAATAAAAGAAATCAATAGCTCCATGATAATAACTGGAGATTTTAACATTCTTCTCTGAGTCATTGAAAGAGAGAGATAAAACAAATCAATATAGGTTTAGAGCATTTGGGAAAGAGAATGTAAGTAGAGGAGGTGGACAGGGAAACCCCACTGTTTGGAGGAATTTTACTTCAGAGAGCGGTGGCTGGATTGGGATAAGGGATCAAGAGTGGATTAAGAGGGGGCATGTTTATATTATGGTGAGTATAGTCCAAGAGGGGTGGGCATGGTGATACAGGACAGAGTAGACACTTGCAGATGTAATGTCCTGAGTAGGCAAGGGAGGAAGGGAGGTGGGCACCAGCAGAATGGGTCTGAGGGACCCATGTGGGTGTGGCAGGGGAGGCAGAGCTAGAGACGTGGGTCTTTTCAAAGACAGTGTTGATCTCAGCCACTAGGCCCTGCCCCATGGCCAGGCCTTGTAGGGATGGACGGAGTGGGGCAGCTGGGGTGGGAACGTTCAGCCTCTTAGACTTGCTATGTTCCTGTCATTCTCCAGATGTTTGTCTCCAACTAATTCACGTTGGTTACAGGAAGCTACGCAAGACACCAGGACAAGAATGCTGCTTTTATAACTGCCTTTATCATATATAATAACTCACATGTATAAACATAGGATATCATGCATAATATATATTATATAAAATGAGGTGTGTAATATATATTCTATATAGTCCCTTTATAAATCTATTTAAATCTATTTTATACGTTAACATTTTTAGTCTTTTAAAATAACACCTAAGGGTGAAAAGTTTCTTTAAAGTAATCAGTTTACAAAAAAAGGAAATGACTCTGACACTTTAACCTAATTTCTCAGAAGAGAAGCACACGTTCAGACCACACAGAGATACTCATTTTCCCCAAATTTGCAAACATTAAAATATTTGCCAACACGTTGTATTGGCAAAGGCCTGGGGAAATGTACCCCCGTCCATCCATTCCTAAATCGACCCCAACTCGGCAGAAGGGGATTTGGTGATATTTATTCAAATTACAAATACTCAAAAGTTCCAGCCATTCTTCCTCAACGATTTTCACCTACATGTCCAGGAAATCAGGTCTGCCCAAGATGAGGCACGGCGGCCTTGTTCATCATAGCTGGATGTCTGGAAACAACCTAAGTCACCGTAGGGCCCGTCTGTCACTGGAAATCAGGACTCTCTCCAAGAAAATTAGAAGCTCTTTATGTGCTGATAGGGAATGATTGCCAAGACTTTATTAAGTGAAAAAAGGCCAGAACGCAGCCTGTTAAAATTTTTATAACAAAAATAAAAAGGAGAGAGGAGTGTCCATAAGTATACATGTGATTACCTGGCGAACTGGGTGGGTATCAGTGTGTGTGTGTGTGTGTGTGTGTGTGTCTCCCTGGAAAAATACACAGGAAACCACGGAGGGGAGCTGGATAGCAGGAGTGGGAGGAAGGAAAAAGATAAAGAAACCATAAATAAAAACAGAGGTCAGGAGACAACGCTCGACCAACAATACTCAGTATAGTCTGCTCTGCTTCCTGCCCTTTCTATAAATACATCTTATCTTCTAGATAAATGTGTTTCGGGAATCCCATCCAGAAACTCGCAGGCGCCCTTCAGCCGACCATCTGACCGTAGCTGAGGCCAGGTAGACGAGAGGTGACTTGCAGGAAATTCGGTCACATCTGCCAAGCACCTTTTTGTGCTTAGGGGGAAGCCGCCCTCACCACGGCAGGGGGTGGCGTGCAACCAGTGATCCCTATTGCGTTTTCAGTCTGTTGACATATTTTAAATAATAGGAATGATTCCAGGAAAACACGGCGAGTCATAGATGTCATCGTCAGCCATTCGTGAGGGCTGTGTTGACGAGCGAACGAGATCAACAGAACAAAGCTGAGGGTCCGAGGTGAGCTGCCCTCCCAAGGCCGCAGCTTTTGTGCACATAGCGGGTGTCTGCTTCTAGGAGAATCTGGCTGAAGTTTGCAACCACTAACCTCTGTGCTGGCGCACACCAGGCCTGACCTGGCCCCTGAGGCTCTGCCTGCTGCTCTCCCTGGCCTCCGCCTGGGCCTTTAAACACCCCGCGCAGCTGGCCAGGGGCCTTGGCTTTGTGTGCAGACTTGCCCAATCTGACGCTGGTGTTTAGAAACAGATGGTGCCTCTTCTGACACTGAGAAGCACCACGGATGTTTCCCAAATGTCACGGCCAGACTTGAGTTAACCCTCCCGAGACTGACGAGGAGCCCTGGGGGGGAGTGACAGGGCCGCGTCACCCCACTCCGGTCACTGTGCACAGGGCTGGCTGGACTGGGGAGAAGGTGGGGTGGGGGTGGCTGCCCACGCGGCCCCCTCTGGCTGTCCGCTGTCCCCTGCAACAGGGAGCCACGGGCCTGGGCCTCTCCTACGGAACGCTCCCTTCTCCTCTCCATTGCGCCTCATCCTCCTGTCACCCAGATGTGGTCCCCACAGAACTCCAGAATGCAACAGGTCATGACCCCCAGCTGAGGGCGACTCTCCCATAGCAGTCTGCGCTTCTCCCGCCCCCCAGGGGACACAGCCCTGACGCCAGGCCGTGAATCTTCACAGTGGTCTTTGTGGCCATGGGTGGGCCCGGGTAGAGGGGCCATCCCTCAGGACTGCCTAAACTCGGCACCCAGCCCAGGGGCGGCGGCGCCCCTCCCTCCAGCCTCCTCCATCTTGAAGGGACCTCCAGCATCCTGGGCTGTCACAGAGACACAGTCTGTCTCTCAGGCTGGAGGGGGGCAGGAGACCTGCTGGCCAAGAAGGACCAAGGCCCTGCCCAGGCCAGGCCAGGCCAGGCCCCTCCAGCAGGTCCGTCACCCCGAGGCCCGGGACTGGGCACCACCTGTGTAGGAGCACCCCTCTGTGTTTCTGGGTGTTGGGCTCCCTGTGTCTGCTCCCCGTGAGTACTGAACTGTGTGGCTTCTGAGCTGAGACCGTCGGTGCAAAACACACCAGATTCAGAGGGTGTTGTGCAAAAGAAACATAAAGTAGCTCATTCGTACTTGCGTGTGCAGATGACACAGGAAATGACAATGTTTTGGAGAGGCTGACGTCAGCATGGGATTACAGCGAAGTTCTCATTTGTTCTTTCCTTTTAGAAAATTGCAACTTGTGGAATTTTGAAATACTGAGTGTGACGTGCATTCTCGTTCCAGGGGCCGGAGCTGGTCTGCTTGGTGATGCTAAGAACCACATTTCTCAGAATCTCTTCTTGACTGGTTCCAGGGAAGAATTGCCAGAAGAGAAGTTCCGGCGCCTCCGCGAGCGCCGGGCACCCCAAGGTGAGCGCGGGCCTGTCCCGGGAGGCCGGGCTCGGGCAGCGTGTGGCGGGCTCTGGCCAGGAGACTCCCGGACCCCGGGCAGCTGCCTCCGTCCTCTGTGCTGGACCCCATCGCCTCTGCCAGCGCCGCTCCAGAGCCCTCGCGTCTGTGAGAGCAGCGACCATGGACGAATCTCTGGCTGCCGGCCCTGAGATGAGAAATGTTCCCTCAGAAGGGACGGTGTCATTTGAGGATGTGGCTGTGAACGTCACGTGGCAGGAGTGGCAGTGCCTGAGTGAAGCTCAGCGGACCCTGTACCGGGATGGGATGCTGGAGACCTGCAGTCACCTGGTGTCCCTAGGGCATTGTGTTCCCGACCCTGAGGAGAGCATCAGGTCGGAGCAGGGAGTACAGCCGTGGTCTGTGGACCATCCCCCAAGCCGGGACCTCTCAGGTCACAACCTCAGGAGATTTTTTAAGTGTGATATGAAACCACTGCCATCCATGGAGGGCCTGGAAAGCTCTTAGAATATTGTCCTATGTCCTTGGGCAGCTTCTAGGAGCAAGGAAGGCAAACAGAGTGTATACTGATGGGAGAAGAGACGGTGGTACTAGAAGACACTTACGAGCTAAGAAATATCTGGAGGATATGGAGAGAGAAATCACTGCACCTTCCAAGATGATTCTGAACAACCACTCAAACTATTCTTTAATGCCCAGAAATGTATGGCTTCTTCTACTTAATCCATTTCTTCTATACAACGTGAAGAAAACAAGTGCAAAGGATAGACTAGGGTCATGGACTACAGGTGCTTTGCTGGTTTCTGGGTTCCTGCTATGAGGGAGACCATCCGGTGTTTTTCGTCGTCTTTCTGGCTTGTTTCACTGAGCATGGTCCCTTCCAGCGCCATCCATGTTGCTGCAAATTGCATGTGTTTATCTTTTTTGACTGCTGAGTAATGTTCCATGGTGTATGTGCACCACATCTTCTTGATCCAGTCATCTATTTGGGGGCATTTGGGTTGTTTCCCTATCCTGGCTGTTGTGAACAGTGCTGCTATAAACAGGGGTGCAGGTGTCCTTTTGAATTGGTGTTTCTGTGTCCTTGGGGTGAATACCTAGGAGTGGAATTGCTGGATCCTATGGAAGCTCCATCTTTAGTAGGTGCAGAAATCTCCACACAGCTCTCCATAGTGGTTGGACCAGTTTGCACTCCCACCAGCAGTGCAGGAGAGTTCCTTTTTCTCCACACCCTCGCCAACATTTGTTGTTGCTAGTTTTTTGACATGTGCCATTCTCACTGGTGTGAGATGGTATCTCATGGTAGTTTTGATTTGCATTTCCCTGATTACAGGTGATGTTGAACATTTTTTCATATGCCTGTTGGCCATTTGCGTTTCCTCTTTGGAGAAGTTTCTTTTTGGCTCTTCTGCCCATTTTGTGACTGGATTATTTACTTTGTTTTTTTGAGTCTCTTCAGCTCGCTAAGAGCATTCATTATTCTATGAGGACATCAGAAGTCTGCATACTTAAACCTCTAGAAACTTCTAAATATTGATTTTACACATATCATCACCAAAGAAATCTTTCAGGATCAGTACAATCCTGATTACTTTCTGAACGGTGTAGGTTTTTCTTCTGATTCATCAATGAAAAATACTTGTTTTAGAATTGAAAAATCCCCATACTTTGCCCCCTCTTGTCACCGATGAAGACATGGAGGTGCCGCTGAAAGCCATCTTCCCTCAGCGCCCATGGGCCAGAGGAGGAGACAGTGATGATCACTGAGGGAAGGGAAGGGAAGAGAAGGGCAGGGCAGGGCAGGGCAGGGCAGGGCAGGGCAGGGCAGCCGTAGTCTCTTCTGACTTGCTGGAGAAGCAGCTGTCAGTAGTGCTCCTGAAGCCTCCTAATAAAGGTTAAAGGCTCCATTTAACTAAGCCCTTGGCGGGGCCTCCAGGATGGCCTAGGGGTTAGGCTCAAGCGCTCTCACCACTTGCGGCCTGAGTTCGAGCCCTGGCCAGGGAGCTACCTGCAAGGAGCGTGGGAGTGAGCCCCCCCCCAAGGGGGCATGGAGCTAGAGCGCATGTGGTGCAGCAGATGGTCTCTTCTCTCTGTGCCTGCTGCTCCACTATGCTCTGTGCTTCAGCTCCCTCGCTTCGCCCCGCCCCTCCTCCCTCGCCCCGCCCCTCCTCCCTCGCCCCGCCCCTCCCCCTCGCCCCGCCCCTCCTCCTCGCCCCGCCCCTCCTCCCTCGCCCCGCTCCTCCCTCGCCCCGCCCCTCCTCCCTCGCCCCGCCCCTCCTCCCTCGCCCCGCCCCTCCTCCCTCGCCCCGCCCTCCTCCCTCGCCCCGCCCCTCCTCCCTCGCCCCGCCCTTCCACAAGTCTTCCTGGTAGTTCTAGACACCTAGATAGTCCCGACTAGTGCCTGAACCGAGAAATGAGAATATCAGTCTTGATTAAGAACTACCATGCCCCTCAACACCCCTCCGTATGTAAAGTATCTATTACCCCATTAGCACCTTTAGAGTTTTTAATTTTGGCATTTGTATGTATATTATAAATCAACTACACCATTTGTTCTTTCCCTATACTAATGACTTTTGTTCTTTAACTCAGCCTTAATATTCTCATACAAATCATATAAACATACTATATGAGTTCTCAAAAAAAAAAAAAAAAAGATATTGCCAGAAGAGCTTGAGTTTTGCCTCTTGAGATTTGCCTGTGTAGTCACGGATGGGTCGATGGGTTGGGCAGCGAAAGACAGACATCAAAGGGCTGATTGGTGCCAGTCTGTCCTTGCTTTCGTCCCAAAGCTGCTCCCATTCCTGCATCCGGCCTTGTTGACCACCAGGCCCCACTATAGACCACCCCCCGGGGCCAGGCTCACGGAGGGCAGCCCCTGCCACTGTCCATTCCATGCCCCAGGAGAGGGAATGGCTCTGTTCTGATCTTCCAACTCCCTTCCCACCTTCACCTCCCAGACTGTGTAGTTCTAACTCCTATAATATGACCTTTATTGCCTCATAGGTCTAGGTGGTTCTGTTTTCTGATTGAGGTTTGTCCCTTCCAGGGCACTGAGGCCTCATAGTTTATTTTTTTTTATTCTTTTTTTTATTTTTTTTAACTATTTTTTTAATTTTATTTATTTATATATACAAGCACTGGGTACAGTCAGAAGCGCGGGAGGGTGAGAGAATTCACCAGAGCCAGAGCGGGGAGCAGAGCAGGCAGAAGGACCGAAGTACACTGCTGAGGGGAGCAGCGGGCAGCAGGAGAGGTCTGCGTGCCAAGTGGGACCCTCCTCTGGTCGCCGGGGAGCAGCCAGGGATCGAACCGGCACTGCAGAGGCTGCGGGCAGCTTCGCAACCCAGTGCTCAACCGCTGCGCCACCGGGGGAGGCCCTCAGAGTCTAGTTTTATAGGGAGAAAAACAAAAAGCAAATCACAGAACATAAAACCTACCAGTTAATGACCCAGATACACTGGACGCAAAGCCAGCAGCCTCCACGACTCCATTCTTTTGTTCCACCCACCACTGATTATTCTCTCCTTTGCCAGCAGCCCTTTGCACGGGCTGCTCCTTTTCTGCCCACACCCCCTGCTGTTTGTAAAACACCTACAAGGTGAGAGGTCACCCTCACTCTTGCCTCCCACAGTCAAATTTTAAAGTCACCTTTGGGCCCTATTTCAACACCCACAGTTCCAGAACGGCGGGGGATGGTTCCTGGAGGCCGAGTTGCCAAGTCCACGGCTTCTTGTCAGCCTTGCTCAACCTGAGCTCGGGGCAGAACTGGAAGCCTCTGGGCCCCTCCTCAGCCCCCCCCCGCTGGCCCGGCCCTGTGGCCCTGGCCCCTGATGACCTTCCAGAGGGGGCTCCGAGGCTTGCAGGCTCCAGCCAGGGTCTTCTCACCTCCCGCCCCCTCAGCACTGTCATTTGCTCCCTGGGTTGCTAAACTGTCCTCTCCAAAGGACTGACTCCGGCCTCCCTCTGCAGCTAACTGGATGCAACTCAGCGCCCTTGTGCTGAGTGTACAAAAAAACTCCCCGCCCCCATCCTGTCCCGGCTCCCCACCTACCAGGGGTGCAGTCAAGGTCGTTTCTGTTGCAAGTGGCTAACAAAATGCACTTTGAGCAGATTTAGTCATGCCAGGGCCTCGGCGGCCCAGCGCCTGGCCTCCTGCCTTCTCCAGGCTCAGAGTCGAGTCTTCTGGATTCAAGTCCACTGGAGGGAAAGCATCTCCTCCTGGTCAGTTCTGCCTCAGGTCCCTGGATTCATTTCCGACTGGACCAAGCGTCCTTGCTGGAACCAGTCGCTGTCCAGTTGCCCTGGGATCAGATCCACTGCAGGCTGGTCTGGTCGGCAGGAGGGATTACCCGCTTCTCTCCTCAGGCTGGTGAGCGCTCCTCTAGAAAGACAGGGCAAAGTGTGGGTGAGCGGTGGCTCCCCCAAAGGGAGCTGGGTCTATTTCCAGCAGAAGGGAGACTAGACGCTGGTCATCAGCCAGTGCCATCGGCCTGTCCTTCCTGCCAGCCCTCCCGAAACTGATGCTGTCCTCAGGACTCTTGTTCTCTCCCCGCCTCCTTAGTTCAGGGCCTTCTTGCCTTCTCTTGCCTGGGCTGTTGCTCTCGTTCTCGAAGGAACGTCTCCCTCTAGCCACTGTCTCCAGCCCGCCCTGCACACCCCCAGCCTGGTTCTCAGCCGCTTTCTTTTTTTCTTTTTTTTTTAAAGAGGCATGTATATTTATTTATTTATTTGTTTGTTTGTACATGCACTGGGTACAGTCAGAAGCACAGGAGGGCGAGAGAATTCACCAGAGCCAGAGCGGGGAGCAGAGCAGGCAGAAGGACCGAAGTCCACTGCTAAGGGGAGCAGCGGGCGGCAGGAGAGGTCTGTGCGCCATGTGGGACCCTCCTCCGGTGGCCGGGGAGCAGCCGGGGATCGAACCTGCGCTGCAGAGGCTGCGGGCAGCTTCGCAACCCAGCGCTCAACCGCTGCGCCACTGGGGAGGCCCTCAGCCG